CAGTATGTAGCCAAAAATGCCGATATTTAGCATCGAATCAACATTGTCTGCTGATTGGGTGGGGATCGTTTACACCAATGCCTGTGGCGCTATTGTCTGTAGCTGGGCTTGCAGAAACAGCAGTAGCCATTGAAGTAGTAATAAAGTTGAAAATTGCATCTTTAATGATAAAGTGAACAGTTGAGGCAGATTAAACAAGCACTTGTTGAGGGGCGAAAAGCAGTTTCAGTGGGAAGAAGAGTGCTTTTCATATTTCTAGGGTCAGAGGTAATTGGTATGCTGTGCGTAAAACTCCAAACTGCTGGTTTGATCAAATCACCCACTAATCCTAACGGGAAGTCATTTATATTCCAAGCGCGAGGTCTAATTTGTAAAGTGCCGAATTCATAGTGTTCCGATCATGAAAGAGCAGGGGCGCTCACCTTGGTTTATAGAAACAAGGAGATCAGGAGGGCTCATATCTTACTAAGGCGGAGCCATATAAGGTTAATAAAGTCTGGGTGTAAGTTTATGCAGAAAAATAGAAAGTATGTGACAGAGTGGAGATGGTATTGTTGCTTGTTACACACACGCACGTAAATACCTCCGGGAATCCCACAGCCTCGTCTCAGTGGCCCTTCCTCTTTTGACTTCCAGTGGCTTTGATCTCGAAGCTGGCAGCGCAGCTTTTTCGAACTTCTTGGACGCAGTCATCGCAGCCCAGCCATTTCTACAAAAACCGGCACTAATTGCCATCAAGGTTCAGATCATAGGCGCCTTCAATATAGCCATCGGCCGTTTCTCCTGGCACAAATGGATTGAACAATGGCCTACCACGGCTCGTTGCCACATTATTACATGTTAAGGGCAACCAGGCTCGGAACGGCTTGTAGCGGAAGGGATAAGTTGCAGATCTCAGGGCTGGGTGAAGATCAGGCCATTTGGAGGTTTTTGGTTAACGTGAATAAGTATGGGCAGGCGGTAATCCTGCATATGAGCTAGAGAAAACCAGAAAGGATTGCAATACAGGCGCCAAGCCGTGTTTGACTCCAACACATGCGAGCTCATCAGACCCAAGACGTGCCAAGTTTTGTCCTACGTGAAGATATGATATCGAACAGAATTCCATGACATATATCAAAGCCTTGGTATATCGGAGTGTATAACATACAATCATCAATCGCCACTTTCGGAAGCTTAGCTGTTTGGTCCTATTGGCAGGAAACATCAGATTATTTTGCCAAGATTCGCTTCCTGGAGCATTTGAAGCATCTGCTGATTTTGACGCTAAGCCACTTTTGACGACTCACAGAAAGCCTTCTACTGAACCAGCAGCAGCGGCATCAGTATTATCGTGTCCGGGTCGTAATGCTTCGTGCTTCGCGCAGATGCATATTTTGTTCAGTAGGTAGGTAAGATTTCCATCACTCTCGCTCTGCCTCATAGCCCATCCAGGAAGCTGTCCGCCTGGCGCTTCGCCCGTCGGTCTCCCATGTCTTTCCGGCGCTGCTCGATTTCCCGCCGCCTCGCCGCCCGCTGCTCTTCGCGCTGCTGGCGCTGCTCCTCGGTCTTGCGCCTCTCCTCTTCGAGTGACTCCATCTCCTTGGTCCGTGTCTCCTCGTCCTTGCTGAACTTGTAAAAGCCGACGCCCTTGGTCCGGATCTCGTGGTCGGCATCGTAGTGCTTCATCTCCGGAGGCGTCGCGCTCCTGTCCCGCTTGCGCGCCAGCTCCTCCATCTTTCCCGGTTCGTCCGGTGCAAACGCCATCGCTTGAATCGCGTCCCCGTATATGAGGTTGCTGGGAGCGCTGGGTCGCGCTGACATGCGCTCCAGCTCCTCTGCGCCCAACAGCCCCCGCCGTATGCGGCGTTCCATCCTCTCCTTGTCCGCCTTGGTTCCTCGCCGTGTGCGTCCAAACTCGTCCTCATATTCGACGATTTGTTCGCCATCACTCCCATTCCCGCTATCATCGTCCGAGCTGGTCTCGTAGTCATCTTTACCCTCTACATTTTCGGCCCATTTGCGATCAAAGTCAACCAGCGGCGCCGCCTCGTTATCCTTTGGTACGTAGTCGCCACGCTTCATCGCGGCGTAGAGCCGTGCCTTGCTCTCCATCTTGCGTTTTGCCCACTCGCGTTCTCGCGTCTCTTCTTCCGTCCCAGTCACTTCTTTGAGCACCAGTTTTTCTGATTTGGCATCCCTCTCCTTGGTGTCAGCCTTTTTTGGCCTGCCAGCAGCGCGGAAGATATCATCTTTAGATTGCTTTGATGGCCTTGGCCGTCCAGACGCTGCCGATGTTGATCCCTGGGGAGCAGCATTGGATATGAGCGATGTGAGCTGTGCAGTGAAATCCAATGACGATGATAGTGCCTCTCGTTTGGTTCGTTTCTGGGGCCTTTGGCCGTAGAGATTCGGATCCTGAGGCATCGTGATATAATATTTTTTGTGATTAACCTGTGTGCACCTCCAATGTCGCGTTCAAGTTTCCAAATTGATATACTGTTTTCAGCGTTGGGTGGCACAGCTAATCTTGTAGGGATCCCGATTAGTTGCCAAGCTTCCTTAGTGAATTAAGTGAAGCCCAAAGGTGATACATCGCCGTGATCAACTGGGAAGGCTAGACGTCACCGAAGAAAGGAACGATCTCTGTGATGACTAAGCACGACATAACATTATCGTTCCCAGCCTGTACAAGGTGAAAATCATGGCTTGAATAGAATGACAGTTGCGATTTTAATTCCTTGGCAGCGACATTCTAGCCATGTAAATTAAAAACAAAATGCAGTTTGAAAAATCATAGCACATAGCACCAAGTTAAGAATCGACAAGTTCGCTCCTTGGCTCATGACAAAAGCCATATTTGAAACATAGCACTCACTATTAGTTTAATACTTTCGCAGTAATGCATTCAGATGGAGTGAGCTCCTCAACTACAAGGAGCACATGGATAGATCGTGGCTGAGCATCATAACGCTCTGTGAAATCTTGGGCTCACCTCTAGAGAATTGCCCCATCCGAAAGCTATTTGAGTAACATACCCTTGGCACATGCTGAAGATTCGGGGAATTGGTGTAGGGGTATCGCGTTTGCTTTGCATTTGTTCAGTCTGAGTGCAAGTCTGTAAAAGGTCAGGGGTTCAAATCCCCTATTCTCCAGTCTTTTTCTTCTTTTTGCATGCCAGACGGCATCTTCATCTTATAAATCTTTTTCTATTCTCTGTTGTAGGGTAGGCAGACTGTAATTATTCGTTTTACCCATTGCAATCTTCCGCTGCAATAGAGCCAGTGTTCGGTTTGCCATGCTGTAGATGCGACAGTATCTCCGGTCCTCGCTCAAAATAGCAAATGTATCATGGCCAGCATTGCAGAAAATTTGCTCGCTGTTCAGCTTTATACGCTGAGATCTAGAAGCAACATTCGCTCTGAATAGCTCAGCCATTCGTTGTCGAGTATTTCCCTCAGAAACGAGAGCTCAGCAGATAGCATCTAGTACGCGAGTATAGCAGTATCTATTTGATTGATAATAATAAGCCTGCCGCGAAGGAGAAATTTCAACAATAACTCATAACAATGACGTGAAAACGGCAATAAACTATATACAATCCTATGTTGGTTAAGTATTCGTACTCAACCTCGTAAAAATAAATCAGTTAGATGCGGATCATTGGCCAATTCTTCACAAGCTCTGGTGCAGCTAGTAGCTCTCCCACCCCCACCGCCCATCACACCACCCCGCTATCGGACTCGAAACCGTCATCCTTCATTTCAAGCAGTGCTATTTTTCGCGCTACCTATTCACATACAAGACAAGATGGCTGCAGTCAATCAGGTTTATATCGCCATCATTGGTAAGTGCTTCTATGCTCTACGATTCTACCAATGCGCCATCTACTAATTCCTAACTCGTCATTATACATTAGGCGCCGGTGGTGTCGGCAAATGCTTCCTCTCCCAACTGCAAGCGCTTGCTGCCAGAAAACCATCCCCCAAGTTGAGCCTCTGCTATATCTCGACAAGCAGAAAAGCCCTCTATAATGTCGACTACTCTCCCGTCAGCATAGATGGCGTTACCGAAAGCCTCGCTTCATCTACCCAAGCCCCTCCTCCTCTGTCGCAAGTAATTGACTATCTGGCTGCCGCCCCAGCCAAAGTGGTCTTGGTCGACAACACCAGCTCCCAGGATGTCGCCGATGCCTACCCTCTAGCTTTGAGCCGGGGCCTTAGCATCGTGACGCCGAATAAGAAGGCCTTTTCTGGCTCGTACAAGCTCTGGCAGGACATCTTCACAGCGGCGGCAACATCTGGTGCCAAGGTCTACCACGAGTCTTCGGTAGGCGCTGGCCTACCGGTCATCTCCACACTGAAGGATCTAGTCGAGACTGGAGATAAGGTCACTAAAATCGAGGGCGTCTTCAGCGGAACCATGTCGTTCCTCTTCAATTCATTTGCACCAACCGAGGGTCAGGGTGGCAAGTGGTCAGAAGAGGTGAAGAAGGCAAAGTCCCTTGGCTATACCGAACCAGACCCAAGAGATGACCTCAACGGCCTTGATGTTGCGCGCAAGTTGACCATTTTGGCTCGCCTGGCAGGCCTGCCCGTCGAATCGCCGACATCATTCCCTACGCAGAGTCTTATTCCCAAGGAACTTGAGTCTTGCTCGACCGGAGATGAATTTCTCGAAAAGCTGCCCGCTTTCGATCAGCAAATGGAAGACATCAAGGCTGCTGCCGAGAAGGCCGGGAAAGTTGTTCGATTTGTCGGCAGTATCGATGTAGCCACGCAGCAGGTCAAGGTTGGACTGGAGCAGTTTGATCGTTCGCACCCAATTGCCTCCCTCAAAGGCAGCGACAACATCATCAGCTTCTACACCGAGCGGTACGGCAACAATCCTCTGATTATCCAAGGCGCGGGAGCCGGCGGAGACGTGACGGCAATGGGTGTGACGGGAGACCTCATTAAGGTGCTTTCGCAAATCGCTTAGAACCATGCTTGAAAATATCTACATGCTTTGATATATAAATCCGATGAACCATAAACGTTGAATCGTTTCAAATTAGAGTCGCTTATCTTCGTCTCGCTCGCTGATCGTGATGTTCGGAGCTTATTGCTGTAGCCTTTGTAGATATCGTGCCGGCTGTAACGGGGATCTGCGCGTTTTGCGGCTGGTTTGAAAAATTTCGATACGTTCTCCAAATCCATAGTAAGATATCGTAGACGACAAAGAGAACAAACGGTAAACTGAAAAAGAGGCCCAAGACCAGCTGTTCTCGAGGGTCAGACATGAGGCGCATGTGAAGAAAGGATGGATGCGGCCGGTGCTTACACTAATCCAGGAGATGGCATTAACCAGAAAAGCAGAGCCAGGAAATGACAGGTACGCCAGCGGGCCAGAGGCGTCCCAAAACAATACAGACATGATGGAGAGCTATAGAGGAAGATTTTGCGACGGCGGACAGTAAAGAGAGGTTTCGATTGTTCAGCAGAGACGGCAAAACAAAGGAATGATGCTCAGGAGCTGTCAGGCTTTTTTAGGCCAGCTCTGTTGCGATGCGCAGGGGCTGGCTGAGATTAATGTCCGTGTACTCGGTACTTTATGCCTCGGACCTACCTGGCGCTGTTTTCAGCAGATTCTGACCGATCTCACCATTGCATCTCGCCACTCTACACCGATTACCTCGGATTATACCATCAGTGAGCTGACAATTCAGTTAGTCGGTTGCAGCGCTCGTATTGCCTGGCATGTGAAAAAGTATCTCCATGAGAGATGACCCAGTTGCCATGTACCCGTACCGAGACGTCTTATCTTAGCAGCAGTACGGAGTAGTAGTATCTGCTGCTAGTCACTAGTACCCGAGAAGGCATGTTGCTCAGGTTTTCAATTTGGGAGCAATTTAGGGCGACGTTGCCGCTAAACCTGGTGTAGCTTTCTGCCGATACCATTGAACTTGGATGGCCTGACCGCTTTCCCTATTTTGCACGTACCAAACTTTCACCAGCCGCTGGTTCAGAGATCCAATCTCATCAGCTTCAATTTGTTATCCCCTAAAACTCACCACCAATTGCTGTGAAGAAGATTGGATTTCAAAGATGGGTAACCAATCAAATAAGAAAGAGAGGCGAGATAGATTTCGAGAAAAAAGAGGTCAAGATGGCGTTGTTTTGTTGCCCAGGAAAAAGCTTTATCGCCAGAGAGCTCATGCAAACCCTTTCTCAGACCACTTACTAGAGTAGTAAGTCTGTCTCTGCAAATATTGATTTCGTTTTCTAACCCATTGTAGCCCGATTTCTCCTGAACATATGGACTGGTCGTCATATTATCCTGCTTATGTAGACGAGGAGGCACCAAAAGATGAATCTATGCCGCCACGAATGAAGCAGGATGTTGAAATTGTCGACATAGGATGTGGCTTTGGAGGCCTACTTGTCGGTCTCGCTCCTATATTACCAGAAAAGCTCATCCTTGGTGAGTTTCCATCTTGCTCTCGTTCGTTTGTCTAAGAGGACTGCTATTGACATCTTTACAGGCTTAGAGATCCGTACCACAGTAACACAGTTTGTTCAGGAAAGAATATGGGCTCTGCGCGCACAAAGTTCCGGCGCACTCTATCAGAACGCAGCTTGCATTCGTGCAAATACTATGAAATTTCTACCCAACTTTTTCAAGAAGGGCCAGCTGAGCAAAATCTTCATATGCTTCCCCGATCCACATTTCAAGACAAAAAAGCACAAGGCGCGAATTGTCTCAACAACTCTCAATTCCGAATACGCTTACGCACTGCGTCCCGGCGGCATTGTCTATACAATCACAGATGTCGAGGCTTTGCATGAATGGATGGTGGAACACCTCAACGCTCACCCTTCCTTTGAGCGGGTTGGCGAGGAAGAGGAGCAGAATGATGAGTGCGTCAAGGTTATGCTCACTGAAACGGAGGAGGGCAAGAAAGTGGAGCGAAACAAGGGACAGAAGTTTGTAGCCTTGTTCCGCCGCATGGAAGATCCTCCGTGGTGATTGGACACGTCAAGGCAAGATGAAGAAACGAACGAATACCCTTTGGAAGCAACCGGCCTATGACGTGGGAAAAGGCGGGATTGGAAGTATCCTGACGTACTACTAGTGGTATCAGCAGATGCAGTTACTTGTGATATCACTTGTTCTGTGCACCTGTGTGGAGCTCTACCCCATTGTATAAAGATAACGCAATGCTGCTATGCCGCCAACAAATCAAATGTGAATTGTACATCAAGTCGATGTCCGCTCATGTACAGCGGCATCATGCGCTCAGATCGAGTCCCAAGGCCTGCGAGCCAGGTCCCTACCTAGTACCTACAGTATGTACGTACGCATGCATGCAACGGACCGTTATTGTATGGAGTGCTTGCAGCGGCGCTACGTAATGGTGGGCTCGTTGCCGCTAATCGATAACGGGTGGCTCTGTATCCGCCGCTTGTTTGGAGCGTCGCAATCGCGAGCTACCGCTACTACTACGACGCTATATATGCTAATCTGCCCTCGCTCACCGTGTCTTTCAACAATGATGCCCAGCAGGCGACTATGGCCCTGAAGCGTAGAGATGCAGTCCTTGCTGGAGTAGCCTACTTCGTTGCGTGGGGCTATGCCGTGAGCTGCTTCTCTGCGCTGCGCTGGGTTGGCTATGCCTTCGTGAGCGGCATCGTCATCACCGTCGTCTCGCTTATCGCAGCTCTGGTTTTGGCCACACAGAACCCTCATGGTGGCGATCGAAAGGCGCTGCCGGCGAGAGTGGCATTTCTCAGTTCGCAGAAATGGCGCACCGAGGCGGAAGCACTACGAACACGACAGATTTACGACAAGGAGCCTTTCGACCCCAGCTTCCCCCAAGCATCTCAAGCTCTCGATGAGCTTCTGAGCTTGATCCTCCGCGATTTTGTATGCTCATGGTATTCTCATATCAGTGGGAATCCGACATTCGAAAATGAGGTGGACAAGGCCATACGACAAGCACTCTTAAGCCTGGTCGATTCACTCCGCAATAAAGACTTTGCTGACCTCGTCACGAGCCGTTTTGTGCCCATCTTGACTGCTCATTTCCATGATTTTTATGAAGCCGAGAAATCAGTGCGAGGGAGAAAGCTAAACCGCTCTGTTACGGAATCTGAAGAGCTTGACCTTGCAATTGCGTCCAAATTCAGAGATGGCCGACTGCATCCAGCTGCCTCCTTGTCCTTTCCCGACACCAAGATGGTTCAGCAAGATTATTTACGATCGCTGGTAGGACGCCTTCTGACCAAAATCCTTCCCAAGAAGATGCTATCTAGTCGAGCTGTCTCTATCATCGTGCGAGAGATTGTAGGATGCGCAGTTTTATTCCCTGTCGTCCAGCTACTTGGCGATCCTGATACGTGGAATCAGCTGATAGAGAATCTTGGTCGCTCAATGCTTCAAGACAGATCTACTGTTCGCAAACTCAGGGCCGCGCTGGATCAGCATGCCTCTCCTACACCAAGATCTAGTAAGCTAGCCATGGCGCCGCGGCTGGCCCCGGCAGATAACGAGCGCAAGTTTGAAAAATTCATTCGGGCCATCCGCAGGGTCAATAACTTATCTGACGCACGGCGATTCCGCAGCGAAGTTGCCAGTCAGCTCAAACGCGATTCTTTGCAAGAGAATCAAGATCCAGTCTATCTTCGTCGATTAGAAATGGGAAAGCGGCTTCTCGAAGAGAGGGTACACCACTTGGCTGCGGGAGGGAACCGTCATTCGCCTCTGCCAGCCGCCACCACATCACCTAGCTCTACTTCGAAGCTGGAAAATGCGTCTCTCGTAGAGCTGTTGCGAGATCCGGCAGGTTTGTCATATTTTATGGAATACATGGACCGCCAGCGTTTGATGCCTTTGGTTCAGTTCTGGCTAGTTGTTGACGGTTTTCGAAACCCCTTGGAGGATGACGGGCAAGATGACGAGCTTCCATCTACACTGCCAATGTGGACGGACTCAGATCGCTTGGATTTGCTACAGATTCATCAATCATACCTATCCAAGCCGGAACTTAACGTGCCAGACGCGTCGAAAAAGGCCGTCAAGGAGTTTCTCCAGGCTGGAATATCGGCTACGCCTGCTCAATATTTCAAAGCCAGAAGGGCCATCTTGAAAGCTCAGAGTGGAGTGTTAGAGACTATGAGCTCTCGATATTTTGATGGATTCAGAAAATCGGACCTGTATTACAAATGCGTTGCATCACAAGAGATGTCCCGCGCCACTGTGCAGCCACCGCCGCCATCTCACCAAGGTCCTTCCATGTCAAGCAGAACCCAGTCATATCAGTCTACTAAATCCAAGCCCATGGCGCGGTTTGCCCCATTGACTGCCGGACCATCTAGGCGACTTTCTGGGTCGATTTCTGATCTCAGATCCGCGAATACTAACGGTAACGGCTCGGATCCGTTAACTGCACGGAGATCTCTCGACGATGACCGGACGACGAACCCGCTTTTTGACGATGATGAATTGGATAACTATGGAATGATGGATTCAGTGCAGAGCTTGGACCAGGGTTTGTCACGACAGCAAACACCTGACAAGCAAGTCGTGCAGGCCGTAGAGCAGGCCTTGACAAATATATTGGAAGATGATAGACCACAGACTGCGGAAGATCTACGAGCCTCCTTGTTTGATAATGAAGATAATATGTCGGGCTTGTTTCCTAATGACATTGACTCTAACCGGGGTTCGTTTGACGCTGGGAAGCCTCTGATATCGGCAAAAGAGGCTGGTAAGCCCACTCTGTCGTCATTGGGGCTTGTCAGTGCCGCATCTCGAATCGGCGTATTCGTGGACGATGACCTTTTTGGAGATGAGAACAAATATTTGTCGGATGATGATGGTGACGTGGAAGAGGAAGCGCATTCTGACGAAGAAGACGAAATCCACGAGGCCGCTCCGGGAGATTTGGGGCTAGCAGAAGCTATTACAGCGCTGACGAACGATATCGATCGCTTAGTAGCGCAAGATGCCGTTATAGAATCCTTGACAAAGAAGGCAGAACTCACAAACAACGCAGCAGAGTTGCGGATTCTGAAAAAGTCGAAAACAAGCCTCCAGAGAGAGATCAGGCGTAAGGAGCTCCAGCGACAGCAATACGTGATACAGGAAAGCGACAATAGTCTCTATGGAAGGTCAGAAATCAAGATTAAGTCCATCCAAGTGGGGCGAGAAGATGATGGCCGAGAATTTGCTTTGTACGTCATCGAGGTTCATCGGGATGCAGGCGAACAGATGCCGGCGTCGTCCTGGGCTGTGATGAGAAGATATAGTGAATTCCACGAGCTACACCAGAAACTGCGGTCAAGGTACCCCTCAGTACGGCACTTGGACTTTCCTAGACGCCGTGTCGTGATGAAGTTCCAGAGCGATTTTCTTCGTAAAAGGCGAACAGCCTTGGAGAAGTACCTACGCGAGCTCTTACTCCTGCCTGAGGTGTGTCGCAGTCGCGAACTGCGAGCTTTTCTATCGCAGAGTGCTATTACGTCAGGCGAGGACGCAATAGACCGAGAGAACAAGAAGGATATGATGACTCGCTTGTATGACTCGGTCGCCGATGGCATGGAAGACATCTTGGGCAATATTCCAGTGCTGCCTCAGCTTTCGGTTGCGGGGCAGAACATTATTGCAGCGGCGACTAATCAGCTCAATACGATGCCGCTCAACGTCAGTGAAGAAAATTTCCCTGCTGCAGAGGCAGAAGCAGAGCTAGATGCTTTTGAGAACAAGGAGCTAGAGCCTTTCATCAAGCCTATTTGTGATATATTTCTCGAAGTCTTTGAGCTCAACAAGGGGAACAACTGGTTGCGAGGGAGAGCAGTTGTGGTGGTATTGCAGCAATTGCTCGGCGGGACAATTGAAAAGAGAGTACGTGAAAACATTAAAATGGCGGTACAGGAGGACTCGCTCCTGCGATATATGGGCATGCTACGAAGCGCACTATGGCCAGACGGAGAGCTTGCTCGGGATCGAAAACCACGCACCACGGCGGAAAAGAAGAAGACGCGAACAGAAGCTAGTCTGATGCTGGCAACCCTGGTACCGGATCTGGCGGGAAATGTTGTAGGACGGGTCAATGCCCAGGCAGCAAGCCGACGCCTCTTTGCAACGTTTAATAACTCCAGGCTCAAGTAAGAATCATTGCCCACTCCCTGCTTCTGCATACAAATGGATATACGTTACTGACCAGTTCATACTTAGTTCTCACTTGGTATTTACAATACTCGATGAGATTGTGTCAGTCATGTTTGATGAAACTTGAAGCGTTCTCTAGGCATCCATTGCGTGTGTTGAGTTGATCTATTTACCTGACATTTCGAAGCATGGCGTGGGCGTTTTTCACTTTTTTCGTTCACTAAAATCCTGTTCTATGAATTATCTGCCTACCCCTGCTACTTCTCTTTTCTATAACGTTCTTTATCATGCTGCTATATGCTAGAAGATGACGAACGTTCTTGTTATTCGTTATATTTTGCGTGACAACTTATTTTGGAGCACACACACATGCAAAAAAAGGAGCGAGCGGTGTTCAGTGCGGATATCAATTATTTGCTCATCCAGAGAAGTGTGTTAAGTACCAATTTACATTCGATGTGCTCTCATGATCTCTACGCTCTGCTATTCCTTGTCCTATCATAATTCATAATGTCATACTAAGCCGTTTCAAAGGCGATTGGCTCAATGATGAGCAGATGCATACACTTTGAGTGGCAACAATCGAAGATCCACCAGTTAGAATCCACATGCTGTGAAAGAGGCATTTGCATGCAGCATTCTGTCAGTACACTACATGTAACCCCGCGATGCCAATGCCGGGTAGCTGGAATTAACGTCGTACCGGAGCATTCGGTATTTCGCATAGCAGTGTACAGAAGGCGAGCAAATGGAGATTGAGAAAATAAATCAATAATAAAAGCTTCAGCCAGCAATCTGGAGTAGACGGGATGCAAATGTAGTACGGTGCGCCACGAGTTTCCACTTACACAATATGTTCACTCAGCTTGCGCAGAGCCTCATTCCTCATCTGCGCCTCGCCTCAGGTACCGGAGATTGATTAATCCTAGCCCGCGCGCCCTAGGCGGTGGGGGTTGGCCTCGTTACTGGAAGCATCCGCCATTCAATAGAGGCAACATCCAGTCCATAAAGTTATCCCGAGCTACACAAAAACCAACTGCCCTTGCAACGTGAGGTTTGCCGGCTTTTGCCCCTGTGCCAGCGCTCGATACTGCTGCTACTACTATTTGCCGAGCGCCACACACAGGAGCCTTTTTTCTGTCTCCCGCCATAGCCCTGGGTCCCTCAGCCTTGCGGTCCCGACCTTTACCCGCAGCTATTCGGCAACTTTCGTCTCCCTTGGCTTCAGATAAGGACGGTGACGACGACCTTCTGAGCAGGATATCTCGAGCAGTAGAGAAACATCCCCCGCTTCGCCAGAGGAGACTGCGTACCTGCCCTTCCTCCTGACCGCATAATTCCTCTTCCTACTGTTGGGCCGCTACGGAACCCCCGAAACCGCCAGGATGATGCCATCCGCGCATGTCTACGGCCACCACCAGTTCAATCCCCAGGCGGATTCGGCCTGGATGCACCAGCAGGCCGGCCATCACCAACAACAGCACGCCCACCAAGCTGCAGCTGCGGCGGCTCAGCAACAGCAACAAGCCCAGCAACAGCAGGCGCAGCAGGCTCAGCAGCAGGCTCAGCAGCAACAGCATCAGCAGCAGCAGGCTCAGCAGCAGCAAGCCCAACAGGCTCAGCAGCAAGCTCAGCAGCAGCCTCACTACGGACGCATGCCCGGCGGCCACGCCAACGTCAACAACAGCCTTGCTGCTTCTCACGGGCAAGATGGTGGACATGATAACATCTCGGAGGACAATAGGCGGACAATGGCATACATTGCGGACCTTTTGAGCGAAAATACTAGAGAGGCAGCATTGCTGGAGCTTAGCAAGAAGAGAGAACAGGTGCCTGAGTTGGCTCTGATATTGTGGCACTCGTTTGGTATGACTCCCTTCTTTACTTTGACTCTTTGCTCTGTCCCTTCCGCCATCCCTTGCTACTCATAGAATGCGTTGCTGACTGAAGCATATTCTCGGTTCTCACAGGTGTCATGACGTCCCTCTTGCAAGAAATCATCTCCGTCTACACGCTCCTCAATCCATCGCAACTCACGGCGGCTGCATCGAACAGAGTATGCAATGCGCTAGCTCTCCTTCAGTGCGTGGCATCCCACAACGATACGCGGACCCTGTTCCTCAACGGTAAGCTGCAGTCAAAGCTCCCTGGCAGTTTGGTAGAAAACACAGATAAGGTTACAGCATGGCTTACTGACACCCCTGGCAGCGCACATACCTCTCTTCCTCTACCCTTTCTTAAACACGACATCCAAGTCGCGACCGTTTGAGTACCTCCGCCTGACAAGCCTAGGCGTCATCGGGGCCCTAGTTAAGAACGACTCATCCGAGGTCATCAATTTTCTGCTCACAACGGAGATCATCCCGCTCTGCCTCCGTATCATGGAAACTGGATCAGAGCTCAGCAAGACTGTTGCCATCTTCATTGTTCAGAAGATACTGCTAGACGATAATGGTCTTAACTACATCTGTGCCACCTATGAGCGCTTCTATGCTGTCGGCACTGTCCTGAGTAATATGGTTGCTCAGCTCGTCGAATCCCAGACCGCTCGCCTGCTTAAGCACGTGGTGAGATGCTTCCTTCGGTAAGACTCGCCCAAGGGATTTTCCCACTAGTATAATCACATGATGTTTGAGGAGAGCCATTCTGACAAGTTTGATTCCACAGATTGAGTGATAATGCCAGAGCGCGAGAGGCCCTTCGACAATGCCTCCCGGAACCCCTGCGAGATGCCACCTTTTCGTCTGTTCTTCGTGACGACGCAGCCACTAAGAGATGCCTTGCTCAACTCCTGATTAATCTCTCCGACAATGTGGTTGATCCTAATTCTGCCGGCGTATCTGCGCTGTAGTTGAAACGAAAAGAGAAAAAGAAGAAAGAACAGACGAAAAAAAAGTCAAGCAGAATAACCGGCACCTTGATTTGCATTGATAGGAGAGATTTACAGGAGTCTAGACGAACGGTTTTTCACGAAAATTTATGGACGGTATAAATCAGTTCACAAAAAAGTAATCTGCATTATTGATACCCGCAGCTGCTTGGCATATCCCACCGCAGCAAATTTCTTTACATCTTCTTCCAAGGCATTTGACATGGTCTTCTGCCTCGGCGTGCCGCGAAGGATGCGGGAATCTTTTCTCAAGAATCCTAGATGAAAATCTAGATCTTGAATGTACCAATTTGTTTTTTGCTTCATAGCCAGGGGTGAGATGGTTCCTGCATGCACTGGGGTTGCTGCTTTTCTTTTCCCACTATGATTTTTATTTTACTTTATCTTATTTGTTATTTCGTTCCTTTCGTCGTTTTCATTTACGTCCTTCTTTCTTTTTCTTTTTTATTGAAGAGGAAAGACGTATATTATTGAAAAACGGGTTGCATATTCTCGGAGCTTGCGGTATATGATTCTTTTCAAATTACGGGATACGGTGGACCGGAGGACCGAAGAAGGCAGCGAATCTAAGCTCTGCTTTGATTTGCTCATTGTCAACACGGGCATCCTGATATGTCCATACGCTTCAATACGTTTGGACGGTGAGAAAAGAGCTGCCCTGAATGGCGTCAAGGCGTTGAGTAGCATGGGAGGATTAGGGATGGGGTTTGTGCGGTGTTTTCGACATATCGAAAAAAGAAAAAAAAAAAGGTGAACCGGAGTTGGGAGACTGGGCGAGATCGGAGTACAGGGAGGGTAGATAGGTATGTATGTACGAGTGTGTGTATGTATGGGTAGTGAATGTACTTGTATTTTGTCTGGGTGGACTGGTCCTCATGCTCACGGCCTCGCGTGTTTCATCGACCTGCAACGTGCTTTGATGGTGCTTTGCTGATTCGTCTACAGAACAAGATCTGGTCCCAGGGGAGGACAACGTGGAGAAATCGTGCTCGATTCCGAGCATGGGGCCTTTTTTTTTCAACGGGGCGCTTAGATACGTGCCGTGTCAATCAAAAAAGAGAATTTCACAGGGAAAAAGCACATCACATCACTTTATCTCGCATCGCCAAGTCGAAGTAAGATTTCATATTTCATATTCCACGTCCCTATCCGGGCTAGTTTCACTGGGTCTAGCTGTCTCTGTCTCTATTTCATTTGCTCGCTTGCTCATTCACTCTTTTCTTCAAGCAGGTAGTAGTGGTGGTGGCGGCAACAACCACTACTGCTAATAAATGCTATTTCCCACTGAGAGAGCCCTTTGTTTTTTTTTTTATTCCCACATTTGCCCCCATCCCCTCATCAGGGATCGTTTTAGACTCTTATCTTGCCGAAAAGGCAATACTTTGCGGCACAATGCCGTGGCGAGATGTGCGTGATTAGTGCGGATCACAAAGGTACGACACGGAAGCAGTTCAATGACTAGCCGGCTAGGTTTTCGTCTTGGAGGGTGAAGGGGGGAGGGTTCGGCCTGGTATGGTCTGGGTTTGGGCCGGGTAAACGATCCCATACCCTTGACAATGAATCTCGTCCACTCGTTCATCACGCACACTCACGCCACTGTGGTATATGACACGCCATGGAGAAGGAAGAGGAGGAGGAGGAGGAGGAGGAGGAGGGAGGAGGAGGAGAGAAGCGAGGAAGAAGGGGAGAGGGGTGTGTGCTTGTTGCAATTGCTGCTTTTTCCTTGATTCGATGGGAATAGTATCAAGCTGGGTCCGGGTCCGGGTCCGGGGTACGATATGTAAGTGATGGGGATTATCAGAGGCTAAAAAGCTACAGATTCGCCTTTGTTCACCTCGGAAGTCTCCCGGATGCCGAGACGACTAATGGATTCCGGTGTGAGCAAAAGGGGCGTGTGCTTCTGTTTTGTATACAAGCGTCTTGCAAAACTTGATATGGAATGTATCTGCCGTACTATCGTCTACTAGGAAGGATGTGAGAGGAGGAGGGGGGGGGGGGCGCAAGAGGCAAATACCAGATGGCAAAAGGAAGGACGAACAGAGTGGAGAGAGAGAGAGAGAGGAAGAGGAGCAACAGCAAGTTTTTTCTTTCCATTTGAATGGGGGGAGGGGGGTGAATTGGGGGCCGTTTTCTTTGCCTTTACTCTTTTCTTGTATTTTGCCTCTAGCTAAGACTCTTTTTAGCTTCTGGTTTTCTTATTTGCCTCTATCGCAAGCTTTTCCTGTTAGCGAATCGTTTTATCCTGTATCATTGTTCTGTTTCTTGAAATAACGGGTACTTTTGAGAGAGCTCCATTGGAGAAAGAAGCTTGCCTTGCTCGCCTACCATGTATCCACAGGCCTACGTTTTACAGTATATAGGCAAAAGCTTCTGGGGAGTATTACTGTAGGGAATTGTGGAGTGGGTTGACTGTCGCTGTCTAGCTGGGCGTTTCCCAATGCGGCAATTCTGATTACAAGCGAAAAGCGGCAAAATTGGAAAATGCAAACAAAAAGTGGGAAATGATTCACAAAAGTTAAAAGAATGTCGCAAAGAGTGGCCTTTTTTTTCTTCTTTGAAACAAAACTGCAATTGTAGCAGTATATCAAACACGCCAAATGCGAGCATGTATAGTGAGTCAAATGGTGTTTGAATGTATGTATGAAAGGGGGGGCAAAAAAGAATGTGGTGGGGGGGGGAGTGCATTGACTGCATCGTTGTTTGCTTTTCCGTCTATTTGGCCTCTTCTTTTTTATTTCATTTTTCTCGGTGTATTACCTTTTAGACCCATGCAATTGCTTCGTCTATCGAACCTTTTTCCCCTGCTCTGCTCCAAAGCTAGAGCGAAGAAGAGGAGCCCGGGGAAGAGAGGCGGCATAGCAGAGAGGTGTGTGGAGAGGAAAAGCATGAGAGAGATGTCACTGCTAAGTGGACTGTTTGAATCATCTACAAGTCTTCGATTTGCTCCCACTTCTTTTATGTACTGCATACTACCCATCTGTTGCAACATAACATCTCGCCATCTGCATCTATCGGGGTTGCCGGGCCCAATCTATGCAAGACCAGCCTGTGCCAGGCCATCCATGTCCCTCTCGTATGGAAGCCGTATACAGTAATGAATGATAATTGCTTACCCGTAATGGGCTCGGATGGATTACTCCGTGGACCGCCTGGAACCTCGCTTTATTTACTTATTTTTTTTCCCCTCGTACTAAAATGGCCCAGATCCTCAAACGAAAAGCTACTAAGCCAGGTCTTTTTACCTGTACTAGTATCAATTATATGCGAGTGAAGAAAAATATCTGCCGCTACTGGGCCTAGATGTGTGAAGAAGGGGGGGGGGGGGGGGGGTCTCCTCCTCATCACGGCGCCAAGGTGCATTCCCCGTATGGACCAGACCAGCACAGCACGGGCCCTGCTTTGGCCTCGGCCATTGCCTTGCAAGAAAAACAGACCAAAGTTCCCCATAGAAAAAACACCTCGTTTACGATACTTACTTAGTATAGGACTTTGTCTAGCAGGCAGTAGCAGTAAGCATTTGGGGAAAGGTGCGGCGGAAATTTAGCACCCTCGCCCTCTCACCCTCGCTGCGCGCGCAAAGGACGCCCTGGGGCCGAGCAATAGCGTCGGCTGTTCATCCGGGACAATCTCGCGGGAGGATCGGGGAGGGGGGGAAGCGTTGCTTTTTGCAAGAAAAATCCCCTGGGATGGGATTCCTTAATACCAACAGTGCGCGCGAGAGAGAGAGAGAGAGAGAGGCGATGCTGGGATTCTGCAGTCAGTTCGGTCTTTGCTGGGCGAAGCGAGTAGAGAGCGAGGTTGGACGGGACAGCGGGAGTGACGGACGGGCCCTGGCGACGGGACCGGGCGAGCGGCAGCCGGGACCGAGCGAGGGGGAGCCTGGCAGATGGGCAGATGATGATGATGATGCGTGCCGAGTGACAAGTGGGATGAAGCGATGGCGTAGTATCAATGTGTCGTGGCTGGTTTGAAGGAAAACGACGACATGGGCATGGGACGGTGGACATCGCGGTGCAGCCCGGTGGCACTGCATACCGCACGCACATGCATGATACATGATATGATACATGATAGCTACATGGCAGCATTCAGGGGACCCGGGGCCTGCGTAGCATCTCTTTCTATCGTGCATGAGGAGAGACGGGGTCTCGGGTATGTTTGGAACGCACTCTTTTCCTCTGCCCATCTTGCTGCAGCACCGGGGGGTGCTCCGGAGACGTACTGTATCACCATTGGTGCAATGTAGAAACACCGTCAAACACTGTTGAGATGGTAATGTTCGAAATAGATACTAATACAGACTGTTGCTATCTAGCAAAGTCCCCTCGTCTGGAACGCTGCTCTCTGTTGCTTCACATGCTTGTCAATGGACTGCCCAGCCAGCCACTTACACATACGTACATATATACTCGCTACGAAACAGCAACCACCACCACTGCTACCTAGTACTATTTACTACTAGTGGTTCGTATAAACAGAAAAGGAAAAAAGAAAAGACAACTCGTCATCTTTATTTTTTTTTTTTTTTTTTTTTTTTTTTTTTTTATGATGTGTTGTGAACAAAACCGACGTGCCTAGCGCCATGATCCGAGGCAGGCATCTCTGCTAGATCCGGCGCACTCTACGATAGCGTCCGCTCGGGAGCTGAGGAGCTGAGATGGGACGAGATTGGGGAAAGGGGGTGGATGAAAAAAATCAAACCAATGACACATACATACATACACACACACACACACAGAGAGAGAGAGAGAGAGAGAGAGAGAGAGAAAGGGAGCGTGAGGCATTTCTGTCCAAGTAAAAAAGTAAACCCCACGCCATTCATTCTTCCTTCAACAGGCAGAATCCCTCCAAGCCACCTTACAAAAGAAAAAAAAATACCGTTGTGCAATAGAAGGAGAATAAAATTTTGTTAGGCAAAACGGTTCGATCCTACGCGATGCAAAGCCGCCCCATTGGCCGGGCTCGTTTTTATTTCCCTTCCTTGCAAAATCCCATCCTTTCTTCCTGCCGGATTTCGGGGCCCCCAGTGCCATGCAACAAGCATCATGCCACTTTAAATCTCCTAGTCGTTTTGTGCTGCCAACTAACTTGATTGTCGATATGCAAAACAAGCTAGATGTTTTGATATGTCATAATGAGTCGATTGCCGGACTGTGAATTAGGTAGATAAGGCTCCCCGTCTTCCTAGCTGCATAACGCACAACGGCATGCTAGTAGTAGTAGTAGTAGGTAGTACATGTAGAATTACAAGTACAAAGGAAACGGTAATACGGAGAAATTGTATACAGTGCTCCATTACATTGCCAAGCACGAGATACTACTGGCCTACTAGTCGTAATTGTGCGTAGTGCGTGTAGTCAACGATGGTTATACAGAGATCTGACAGGTCTGATTCACGTCGTGTTAAGCAACGGTAGGCGCGGGCTCACAGTGGTGGGGAATCTTGTTCGTCAAATTCACTTTTTTTTTTTTTACTGTCCTACGGATCAACGCTAAAACCAATCCTTCGTGTAATTTGTAATTTTTTTCTCTTCGTTGCCAAGCAAAGCCTCCTTCTATGGGGACGCGTACTTGTAGCCGAACTGCTCCTTGCCAGCGTCAACAAGCTTCTTAGCCTCGGCAATGGCAGCGGCCTGCTCTGCACTGGGGCCCTTTCGCGCATCCAGCATGGGCGGGTTGGGGACTGCGAAGCCTCTCTGCACCGCCGGGCGATCCCAGAGCCGCAGCAGCCACGCCTTGACGTTGGGGAACATGTCGTGCGAGGTGGTGGTGGACATCTCCAGGCCGTTGGCCCAGCCCACAAAGGCAATGTCGACGATGCTGTACTTGCCTCGGCCCTCGCCCACGAGATAATCCCGATCTTTCAGGCGGTTGTCGAGGATGCCGTACAGGCGCTCCGTCTCGCCCACGTAGCGCTGCATGCCGTACGGCACCTTTTCCTTGGCGAAGCGCACAAAGTGGCCGGCCTGGCCCTGCATGGGGCCGATGCCGCCGTGCTGGAAGCCGATCCACGATTCCGCACGCGTGTAGTCGTCGGAGTCGACGGGGAACGAGAAGAGGTGCTTGGCGTCATAGCGGCGCGTCAGGTACCCGAGGATGGCGTTGCCCTCGAAGACGGCGAGGTCGTTGTTGTCATGGTCCACAATGGCGGGGATGCGGCCGTTGGGGTTGATGGCCGTGAACCAAGGCTCCTTTTGCACGTTGGTGCTGATGTTGATGCCCTGCCATGTGTACTCGAGCCCGTATGCCTCTTTGAGCTCCTCCAGCAGGATGCTAGCCTTGACGCCGTTGGGGGTGCCTGTCCTGGTCAGTGACAAATATTCCTTGGGGAACTGAACGGTCTGTATGCGAACAAGGAGTCCGGGGGGGTTCCCCGAAACTATTGGATGGATATTGCCCAGCAGATGGACAGGCACTGGCACTGCCGTCATAGACAAGGAGGCGTTGATAGAAAAGAAGAAAATGATATAAATGGCCAAAATACGACTTGTATCCTGGTCAAATGGGCACTTTTATTTCTCCC